TAACAAGATACTAGCACCTTACATTAACATAGCTCATGGCTGGTGCTTGCAGAGGTCTTCCACGTGTATTTGATCGTTATTACAAGCACATGAGGAAGCCAGGGCTATATAAACCTTCATATGCCTTGGTAAGATTTCTGTAAACTAATAACTCAAAAATAATCTGCATAGTTAGTTCATGAAAATATTATTGCCTCATTATTTATAAAAACTTGAAAACTAAAATGCACACCTCTGACAGTCAAGACTACGTACCTAGCACAAGGAACAACCTTCTTGTCCAACAGACCAAATATGTAAATTGTTAAGCAGTAGTAGCAACTGACTCCCAGTTTCAACAGAATTCTTATTCTAGAAAACATGGACATTGATCCAAGAGGTGTTTCTGACTAGCTTGACCATTTTCCTTACGTTATTTAAACTTTATGGGCCTGTTTCCACATCGTGAATTTGGGCTAAATAATGCTGTTTAATTATTATTATATTTTAAATTATTTCACGTATTTATCATTTTATTTATAACATATTGCTATCTTCTACGCTACATATCTACATTTATGGAAAAACTTGTTATTCTGCAACTTTTTAAGGTATTAAATACTGCAACTAGTTTCTCAAGCCCTAAACAGTAAGGAAGGATGCTCTAAAACCTCCTTTCCTGTGTCCAGTACAGATCCCACAGAGTACACAACTCTGAAAGAACATCAAGGGAACATGAGATATTACAGCGTCTTCAAAAGGCCTCAGGAAACTGAGACACATGGGGGCATGACTGATGGAGTACTTAAAGAGACTGAAGTAAGTGATTTTAGCCTTGAATCAAAGAAACACTGACAAACGAAAAACTAAAAAAAAAAAAAAGAAAGCAAAATATCAAGGGAACATCTCTAAGAGATAGTCATCACTCTGAGTTAATATTAGTGAACCAGGCAAGGAAGACCTAAAACACACGGGCAAAAGGGGGAACACCAAGCTATTACAGCTGATCTGAAAAGAACAGTTCTAGGGAGTGAACTAAGAATGGCACACTATGTAAGTAGCTGGACTACAAGTATGTATGATCAGTGTTTATTATATCTATATGTTTAATATTAAAATAGCTGATATGGAGCTATCAGCATGGAAGAATACGTTGACAGTTACAAATCACACTGCTCTTCATTTGAAATTTCAAACTGCATCTTTGGCATCAGTTCGGTGGTGGATCACTGCACGTCTAAAATACACAATTTCCAAACTACTGCATATTAACAAAAGGTATACACTGTCTATCTTTGTTCTTACCTTATAGACCATCTGGAACTAAGTGGTGGACCAGGGCTTGACCTCATCTTGTCCAAAACCCAAAGGAATAAATAATTAGCGGCGATAGACATAAAGACCTGTGATTAGGTGGTTGGTATATAACTTATCTTGAAATAGGTTATGCATAGAAAGATTTAATCAAAGAGCAATTGCTAATCGTGATGTCTTCTTTCCTCTTACATTTTATTAATTACAGATCAAGAATGTATTATGATGGTATTAAAACATCTTTCTCACTGCCTACCACTCAAGTTTTATCAGTACCAAGTCAGATGGTCTGGTAGCCAGCCTCCAACATGGCTATCAGTGATGCCTGTCCCCTGGTGTCGTCCAATCCCACACTGCACCAGGGTTGGTCTGCGTGACTAATGATATCTGGTAGAAGAGCCATAGAGATGGTATATCAATGATGAAATTAGGTTATAAGAAAGAGCACTACTTCTGTGTTGGGCTGGCTCTCTTGCATGCATGCTTCCTTTCCCTCCTTCTTTCCCTGGATGCCTGCTGTGAGCAGCCCAATGGCAAGGAACTGAGGCCTCCAACCAAGAACCAGTGAGACACAGCAGCCAGTAAGACCAACCAACAACCACATGAATAATCTTGGAAGAGATCTCTGTAGCCCAGGGGGGCCTTGAGGTGACTGAAAAAACAGGCTATGATATAACCTCATGAGAAATCTTAAGCCAGAACCACAAGTTAATTGACTCCCGTACTCCTTATCCAGAGACCTTGCATGAGAGAAATGTTCACTGTTTTAAGCTGCTAAATTTTAGGACAATTTGTTACACAGTAATAACTAACTAATACAGATGGCAAGAGGTATATTCTTGTTTAAAATCTAACAAATCAACTACTTTATATTTTACTATTTTCAGAAATTAAGCAGGCAAAGCAATTTAAAGTTGTGTATAGTTCATAGCAGCACTTTTTTACTAACAGCCAAGACACATAAGTAACCTAAATGTCGACAGGTGACTAGATAAAGATGTGATACACACACACACACACACACAATGGAACACTCCTCAGCCATAAAAAGGAATGAAATAATGTTATCGGCAGTAACATAGATGGACTTAGAGATTATCACAATAAGTGAAGTCAGTCAGTCAGAGAAAGACAAACATCATGTGATATCACTTTATGTGGAATCTAAAGTTGTATATAGTCATATAAATCTGGATTTTTCCTATAAGTCAAAGATGTATCTATTGGGAGAAAAAAGTATAAATAAATATTGGCTATGAATCCACTTTATGGTTTTAGCAAAACTTTGGCATTTTAAATTTCTTCTTTATTTTACTTTCTTCAATAGAGCATGAATTTCAGCCTCATTGAAGATCCAGACCAGGTGGGAAAAATGTGTCTTTGAAAGTGGAAATAACCTTTCATTTGTAACAGAGC